TGCTTTCTACGGCGAAGGCGATTCCTCAAGTTGCATGGTTTGCGGTTTCTTGCCTGTAAGTTGCCTAAAATTTACCGTCTCTCTGCTCATTCCATAAGCCTCATCCCCAATCATAGTATCCACCATATACACATTTTTCACACTCAAATTTTACACACCAGACCGGAGCAAGGTTGGGGCTGCCGGTCGGGTCGCACCATGACAGGGGAGAGCGGCTGCTGTTGCTGGCTTACCTCCACCATTGTTGCCTCCACGAGGACAGGGGAGTTCTTTTCTCTACTTTTTGTTAGCCTTTAGTTAATATTTCCAAATTTTGTATAAAAAATTTGAAGTAAAAATTAATAAATATATCCAATATACTCGAACATTTGTTGCATCTTTTATCGTCTAATAACTAATATTATAATTTAAGCATTTTGCCTTTTCAATTGAATCTGAAATTATCAAATTTGGAAACTGACTAATTCTATCAATTTGGTCTTGGGTCTTTTCATTTTTAAATTTTCAAATCCGCTTCGGAACTGCCATTATCGCAAGAAAGGAATGGGAAAGGGAGACAAAAAACACAAACACCGAAACCGGCAACGAGGTACTCGTCACTACACTGAGGAAGAAGGAGAGATTTATTATGACGAACTCCAGTGTAACCCCCAACACTCCTCTTCTCTGTCCGATGATGATAATCGGCAAGAAGAAGGTGAAGAGGACGGGGAAAATGACGACAACCTATCAAAGGATTTGCCGTCCAAGTTCCTTCTTTACCAGCAGTCCGTTCAGGTATAACTGTCGTATGACCGTTGATATTACGTAGTGCCCTGCATGTGTCTTCACTCTTGCATTACTTTTTGTTTAAATCTACTCTATTTTCATATATTAGTAGATATTAACTATCGAGTATCAAATATGCGAAATAGTTTACAGTTGAGCAACTTCTATCGTATATTTTCAATTTAATTCCATAGAGAGAATTTTATTTCTCTTTGTAAGGGAAGGAATGCCGTTCAGAAAGACGAATTTGTACTTAAATTGAATATAGATTTAACTGAAAATTATAATGATATTCAAATCTTTATCCCATTTTTAATATATTGCCGATCCTATTTTGCGCAACTGAAATTAACACTAAACTCAAACCTCATGCTTTTGGTGAGAATGGAGTTGGGGAAAGCACTGGACCTCACTTTTAGAGTATGTTTTATTTTGAGAATAGGTTTGTTAAATTGCGACTCAAGCTTAACCCTAAATCACAATGCTATTTTCTTTTTTCATTGGTACATAAAAATATAAGAATTTGGGACCTAATCATTGAGGGTATTCTCTTTTTGTTTTTTAACATTTAATCATTGTTTTTCTCTTTTTCTTCACCTCATTTTACGAATACTGGTCTTGGAACGCAGTCCCCAAAAGGAGATATAAGCTATTTGCAGAAGTTCTTTTTGATGTATGTGGGTCAGAGGCAACCTCTCCATCTCCAAGAAGATTTCTGTGGGACTGCTCTTCTTAGGTACATATGTTATCATCCTATTTACTTTGCACCGGATCCCTTTCATCGTGGTTTTTTTGGTTCATTCACCTGTCTACTGAAGTTATTGGATGTATAAAACACATGTTTAATAAGAACAAGTTATCAAATAACACAAGAGTTGAATATGAAAATAAAATTAATTTTTTATTGTCGGCTCAATTAGTTTTTTTTTTTTAGTTTAGGTATGGTTCATGAATCTTATTTAGTTAATATCTTGAAGTTTACTCTCCTACTATGGTTAAGATTTTTTTGGATTAATTTTAAAAAGACAGTGGTATATATAGCTGAAGCACCAGTACCTAACAACCAATAACCGATTTGGAGGCCAATGGAGCAACTATATATATTTTAGTTAAGATTTACTTATTTGAAAGTTTTATGGTGTCTATAAAATGACATGTCTATTTTGGGCTTTAGATATGTATTACTGATTGTTTCAATCCAACATATCCAGATTCTTTTTTGTCTCTTCTCTTTCTTTTTTTTTCCTGGAAATCCAAGATATCCAGACTGTTCTCAGTCTATTTTCTTTTCTTTTGTTTTTGCTGCCTCTTCTTTCTGTCCTGCATCAGTTACCATTATGGTTTTTGGACGGTATGTGTACTTTATGCCTTCTTCAATTCAAAACTCCATTGCAGTTAATTGCCAATTGTTCGGCAGTGAATAGATGAATTTTTATGTTCTGTTGAAATTCTTAGATTATATTAGGTCATTTCTGTGTTTACTTGAGCTGCCTTTTGCTGATCCTAATCCTTATTCTACTAGTACGGTAGGGTGGTTTATCAATTTTGGTTTATGGAGGAATTGTTAGTAGAAAGGATTTTTGTTCCAAGATTAAGATCTGTAGGTTGTTCTTAGATAAAGGGTTTTGCTAAAGAAGTAACAAATGTTTAATTTTTTGTCCTGGCAGTACAGAATGGTTGCGCACTGATCCGAGACGGACTGCTGTAGGATTAGATTTGGACCTTGAGGCACTAGAGTGGTGTATAAAGAACAACATAAGTAAACTTGGGTATGATGGCTATTCCAGGTTATACCTCTTTCACGGAAATGTTCTGCATCCTCTTGAGGCTAAAATAGTTTGCTCTGACCCTCAAGTACTGATAAGGAACATTGGATTAGAGGACAACAATTGCTCAGTTGCTGTTGCAACAGAATCTACAGAGCAACCAAGCCTTACTGCTTCTACAAATGATAACTGCATGAAGAAAAGCTCTGGATTGCCTGCAAGAGACATTGTGTGTGCTTTCAACTACAGCTGCTGTTGCCTTCACAAGCGTGCTGATCTGGTTTCTTATTTCAAACATGCTCTTGATGCCTTGTCCAAGAAGGGTGGTATATTTGTTATGGATTTATATGGGGGTACATCTGCGGAGTGCAAGCTAAGACTTCAGAGAAAATTTGCCAATTTTACGGTATACTGGCTTAGCTCCAAATACTTGCATGAACTTACGAAAAAGTTTGAGCACCATTAAGTATTTGTTTGGCCATTGTCCCTAAGGAGTGGAAAAAGTTTCAGGCGAACCTAAATGACAGAAGAGCAAAGGGTATCCATGTGATTTCCACCAGAAACCTGGTCTTGAATTGAGCGTCAATACAGCTGTTGGAAAAAATTTCAAACAAGCCAAATAGAAGAAACATTCTCCTAACCATCAATATGACCGTCATTAATGAAAGTCTTGTTCAATCAACTGTAAAATTCCATAGTTTTCAGAGTCTTAATCTTTTATGCTAGATTATTGTCACTTGATTTTTGCATTATCTCAAATTTTCATGAATGGCAACTGCTTCTTGTTTTTATTTTTCTTTTCCTGAATAAATTTCTCGTGCTAAAATTTGAATTTGACATGGGGCAGTATGTCTGGGAGCAAGCAGAATTTGATATAATCGAGCGCAAGACAAGGATTAGCCTGCATTATCATCTTCTGAAGCAACAGAAAAAACTACGCCATGCATTTTCATACAGCTGGAGGCTGTAAGTTTGTACTATTCTTTTTTTATGCAGAATGAGAATATTCTAAGATGGAATTTCTTTAGTATTGCAAATCAATTTTGAAATAATTATTTAGTGTTAGGATGTTTATATGTTTATATAGTATAGACCATTTTTAAAATATCAGATCTAGGAGTTATTCTATTTTGTTTCATTAGGACAAGGTAGTATCTAACTTTGTCTATAATGATAAGGCACATTATTTCTTATTGGTTCTTTTAAGGTGCTACTAATGACAGAGCTAAGATTTATTGTTAGATAGGGCTAAATTATATGTAACTTATGGGATATATCGAAGCTTCGCTCTGCAATAAGCTTTAGTATCTTTTCCTATTTTTTCATCATATTTTTTAGAGAAAAAAATAAAAGAATTAACATTAGAAGGGCACCAGACGGATGCTGTAAATATACAAAAGCAACGTCACTCAAAGTGAGAAGAGATCCAAAAGATCAACAATATCTACCTCATCAAGAACATGATGACTCTTAAACAAAATATGCAAGACTCTTCAATAAAAGATGTTCAGAATTTTCAAAAGATATGTAGCTCTTTTCTTTCAAAATGATCGAGAAAACAGAGGGTGGATGAGAGAAAGGAATCTTTTTCTTTTGCTTGGTAGCTGGGATTCCACTCCATTGCCAAAGCTTGTTCTTAACATACCCGTTGACCACCAAAGACAAGTTGAGATTTTTTTTTTTTTTTTTTTGAGAAGATGACAAATTAAAAATATTGATAGCAGAATCCCCAAGCCTTCTAGACTCTGAACACTAGGTCAAAAGATGGCGTTAGAATTCACACTTAGAATGTCATAATAAAATCTATTTGCCCATAATAACATCTATTATGGGAGCTAGAGCTAAACTCTCTAATAAATCCTCTATACCATGAAGGCTACGAACCAGAAACATTTTTTTGTCCAGCTTCATTTATAATGCTTCAATTTTTTTGACTTCCTTTGTTATTCCTTGCACAGAAATAATGAAACCTGTGTAATGGGAGTCACAATAAAGCTAAGCCGTCTAGTAAATCTTCTATGCCACTAAAGGTACACACTTTGGAAACATCTTTTGGTTCAGGTTGAATTATAATGCTTTAATTTTTTTCGGTTCCTTTGTTACTCCTTTCGCAGAAATAATGAAACCTAGGAATAGAACTTGTTCTCACATAAATGTTCACTTCATCAAGTTAGTATACGGTTTGGCATTCCTAAGTGCTCCAATTTGGTCTTAATGTAAACGTATATAGCATTAAAATACATGACAAGGAATTCTTCCATTTAGGGGTTCTAACATGTTTCATGACCCTCATAAAAGTACTAGTCGCATACTCAACCGAAATTACATGATCAAGCACTCAAATAATCCATCTTGAATCTTAAATGCCATCATCCACTCATTTGATGAATGTGAATTTGATGGTATACACTATGTAAACCTATTTTGGAGAACCAACCCGAACCTAGTAACATATCTAACGTGTAATCAAGCCTTGGGATGCGAGATTGATATTTGATAGTGATCCTATCAGTGGCAAAATTGTCCAGACACATCATTCAAGTTCCATTTTTTTAGGGGTTAAGAGCTCCATAAACGAGACAAGGACCGAGGCTATGCCTGACATCCCTTTGATAGAAGTTCCTCCGCTTGTCCATTTAACTCAACAAGCTCTTTTGTTCATCATATAATGCAGAGATCAGGAAGCTGGGATCTAGGGATAAGATCAACTGCATGTTGGATGTCTCTCATGAGAGGTAATGCATTAGGGATGACATCTCATAAATATTTTAGCAGTTTTGTAACTTCAGGAGACTCACTTATGTTAACCTCATTATTCTTTGACCTCTCTTGGCTACCAGAACAATCCAACATCATTTTCTTCTATTTCCTTCTCAACTATTTTTTATTCGAGAAGATATACACTGGAGTAATACTCATATCTTTATTTGCGGGTTTAGCTGGTCTTGCCATGATACTATTTTCATTGTCCTTGAAAATATAAATTTTCTCTTCTGTGATTAATAACATCCCAATCATATACCAAGGTCTACCTTGCAAAACATGAGCCTCATCCATGTGTAGAACATCATAATATATTTCATCAACATAATCACCCTTGGACTGCTATTAGACATCGGTAACAGGTAATATTGTCTTGTCCAACCATGCTACCCTAAAAGGTTGGTATGTGGTTCAACTTTGAGTTTGATCTAAATATGGCTCTTTAGAAACCAGATTCATGGTACTAACACCATCAGTAACTAGTTTGCACGATCTGTCCCCATATCTATAAATGTCATGATAATGCTAATTCACTTCAATTCATCATTATCTCCCAACCCAAGACAAAACATATCTTAAAATATTAGGATGTTGTTTATTAACATCAAACCATTATACTCATCAGCACCTGAATAATCTATGGGGTTGACTATGTGATCCTTGTATTCTAGTGGAATAGGGCATTCTTGTTTCAGTATGAGGATACCTTGAGAAGAATGGGATTCAAGGTATCCTCACTGCTGACAACTGGGACATTAATATAGACCATCGAGATTTATTTTAGGAATGGGACGCAGTAGAAATGGGATTGTGGTATGGAGGTTGATGAAACTAGAATCATCTTTCATATAAATGTCAATAGTAAGACATTGACCTAGATTGGCATGGCTCTAGGGACACTTGTGCAGCAAACTATAGTAGTTTGTTATAGTAAACTTCTAGGGCTTTAGGTTACACATCTTCTAGGGAATCAGGAGAGTGGAACATAAGCTTTTTCTCAAGGTCCACCCTAAGTCCATTAGTAAATCTGGTGACAATATATACAGGATTCTTCAAATCTGGACATGTAATTAAACTGTAAATTTGCTGTTTGAGATCAAGTACTTAATCAATTAATTGCCTCTTTTGCCGTATTGGCAAACTTTTTCTTTAAGGTTTGTTTCATAGCATGTAATTGAATAGGAGAAGAGGTGATGGTGATGGTTGAATAGAGGAAGGCCTAGGGATAACCAAAGAAATCTAGTAAAAGGACAAAAATTCCCTTAATTAAAAAAAGTGTTAGAAGTTCACAGATTTATTTACTGATGTATCAATTTGATGCAATATAAAAATATTGCTTTACAAAAATCAGGTACCAATTTAATAGAAATAGGAAATTTCAGGGGGGGCTTTGTGATAGTTATTTGAAGTATTATGATAACAATTTACTTTCGGTTACTTTTTTTTAAAAAAAAAAAACAAAAACAATAAAATCAGTCATGCAAAAGGAGGAAATACCAACTATTTCATTTTCTTTAAAAACAACTCTCTTGCTTTCCGTACTCCTCTATTTCTTATACTAATTTTTATTCAAACATATTGTTACTACCTTTCAAACTGTTGTCCATTAACTTATTAGCGGCAGGGGTAGCTTTGCTTGATACATACACTCATTGCTACATGGATACATGTAAAACTCTTTTATTCAAACATATTGTTACTACCTTTCAAACTGTTGTCCGTTAACTTATTAGCGGCAGGGGTAGCTTTGCTTGATACATACACTCATTGCTACATGGATACATGTAAAACTCTTTTATATATGAGAATATGACAGGCAATTTTTCTTTTGGCAAGAAATCTAGAATGTATATAAACTTCTTTAGAAAAATGAAAAATTCATTGAAAAGATAGAAATAAAAAATTCACCCACTGTTTTAACAACATTTCTGTTGTTGGCGGCTTCAAAATGATGAGCATGTGCTACTACTTGAGTTTTACTTTAGAATGGCTTCTTCGGCCAAAGTGGTATCTTCAGCATACCACCTGCATCAAAAGAAAAAAGGATCATAATCATGTTTATATTTTCTTATAAATACATTTGCTTATATATGCAGTTGGTCGTTGCCGGAGATTAAAGACTGTTTGGAAGAGGCGGGATTTGGTTCTGTCCACTTTTGGCTTCGGGAAATGCCGGAGACGGACAAAATTAGAAGTACAGAAGGATTTGGTTGGGAACACGGTTTGAAATATGAAGAATTTAAAAGTTTCCAACAACGAGATTCATGGAATGCTTACATTATTGGTGTTGCCAAGTAAATTTGATGTGGTCTTTAGGTACTTGCAGAGAGCAAGCAAAATGTGCGACATTTAAAATTTAGTGGGAATTTTCTCATTTTAGATTGTGTACTTATAAAGTCACAATCTCACATGCAGGTGTTCTTTGAGATTGTAGCATTTAATTATTATTATTATTATTAATTGATAAGTAATTAGAGAGATGACAGGATTATGGAGGGAGTGCCGTAAAGCTTTAGGGGCCACGAAATGCCGGCACGTCAACATCAAGTGCGTCATCATGATTCAAATATTTTTTTTACGGTCCAATTTGGGCGACACTAACGCGTTATTTTTTAAAAACATAATAAATTAATCCCACGTGTTAGATTCGTTATGTACGTATTTCAAAATTTCTAAAATTATTATTATATAATAGTATATATCTTAAAATAAAATTGTTCAATTAATTATAAGATTATGTAATTTAATCTTAAGTCTAATAAAAAAAAAAATGTTTACCATATTTTCGATTAAAATATTTTTGATAAAATCCTAAAACTTGTTTAATTAATTTTTAGTAACAACATTGGTAAATTATGTCATTTATTTAGTTATGTTATAGTATAAAACGTTAATTAACAACGAATTATAAGTGTGAAAGCACTAAATTTAACAGAAAATAAATTTTAGAATATCATTTTCACTACAAAAAAACTCAAAAAAAAATTAAAATTAAAAGGAAAAATTACAAAAGTATTACTTAAGTTTGATGTTATTTTATAAACACGTAATAATTTTGTATTGAAATTATACAAAAATATGACTGCTTTTATTTATACTTTAGAATTATCTTCGAAGAAACGATTGTTTTCATAATTAACTTATCTATACAATTTATGTTGAAAGAAAATAAAACTACCTAACATTTAAGCCAATAAGTCAACACTCTCCAAACTTAACAATGCTTGGGAAAATGCAGATATAACATATATTTGTACACATACAATAAATTTGTTTATATGTGTGTGTGTGTGTGTATAATAAAAGTACTTTTAATGAAAATTTTGTATAATTAAATAAATCATACTTCTTTAGATTGTATCATATTCTCATTCAAGGGCTAAATGAATCATACTTCTTTCTTTTTTTCTTTTTGGATACAAAGAAAAGCAAAAAACTAAGTATTAAGTTAGTAATTTTAGCTTAAAAGAGGTTAGTACATGTATTAAGTTAGAGAATGAAACTCCATATCATTAAAGGAATATCCACGATATAAATTCCGTAATTAGGCCATGTGCCCTATAAATAAGGGTGTCAGCACAAACTTTATCATTTTATATGAATACGTAAAATATTGGAGGAGCAGGGGGGTTGTTGTTATTTGAGCAAGGTAAGGCCAGAAGGGAAGTCATTAAAAATGAGGTGGCCTCCATTATGAACTTGGAGGCGATCTCTTGAAAATAAGAGGAGGATAAAAATGCTAAATACTTTCATTTTTTAGCTAATTTTAGAAAGAAAAATAATTATATTGATATGCTATGTTGTAATGGGGAAACTGTTAGTGGTAATGAGGAGATGAGACAGAAGGTGAAGCTATTTTTTCAGAAGTTGTACACGGAAGACATGACTCAAAGGCCCAATCTTGATAATCTGAATTTCAAGAGGTTATGTGATGGCAGCAGGGATGGTTTGGAGATGTCTTTCATAAAAGAGGAGATTAAATCTTGTTTGGATGAATGTAACGGGGATATGGCACTAGGGCCAGATGGTTTCAATATGAAGTTCTACCAGGTGTTTTGGGGTGTGATAAAGAGAGATGTGTTACAACGGCCCCGGAAATTAAAAGAAAATGTATAAATTTATTCTAAGTGCGAAAGCGAAATAAAATAGATTATGATTAACATCCCTTACACAATAACCAAAACGAATTAAACGTATGAAAGAATAAACTAACTAAGAAAAATACTATGAATGAATACTATAAGAAAAACTAATAAATTCTTAGGCTTCTACTCGCCGTCTTCCTGCAGAACGGACTTGGGAACCAAGTCCTCCTGATCTAAAATGGTTAAGTAAGGAATGAGTTACACTAACCCAGTAAAGACATCACACTATCTCGCTGTCACAGAAGTAAAGGTTGGTAGAAAACAAAAACGACCAATGGAGCATAATTTATAACAAACTCATTTATCAATAATAAAAATTTTTACTATCCACTTATCTCGGTGAGATTCATGAAAACAACTTATGAGAAACCATAACATCATAAACATCATAAGATCATGCACACTCTGTAACATAACACATATCATACTTTTGTATTTCAATCATCAGGCAACAAATTTCCTCTTTTATCAGCCTACTAGTATCTATGGGGATCCATAGGGGGTCCCCGCTACATGTGAACCATTCACATTAATAACTTAATTCTAGGGCCGTCCCCATACCCCGTCCAGTATGGGCGCCAAAATCATAAACCTAAATACCCCGTCCGGTATGGGCACAAAACACATAAAGTCTCAATACCCCGTCCGATATGAGAGACCACGTTCCCGGTAGGGTTCCCTATGGACCTGGTCCGTCCACCATCTCCCAGGATATCTAGTCAGGCTGTCGACATTATCCATTTATCAATTCACATACCTTTATCTATTTTTTTCTTAATCTCAATTATCCAATCAAACATAAACACGTAAACCAGTAATGAACACCAAACAAGGTAACACAACATCGGGTTCATAATAATTCAAACCATAATAAATGAAATCATGATTCATGCATACAAAATCATAGAATAAACACATCAGGCACCATACTGCATTCAAAACTGTAAAATAAATCAAACAACACCTGACCGAAAAATACATCATATTCGGGCTCCATTAGCAGTCTTAATTAATTATACATATCTATTAATTCATAAATTACCGTTTTATCATTTATTAAGCTTTAATGCTGTGATAAAAAATAGGGTGAGGGATCTTTACTTATTTCGGAGTCTGAAATCGGGTTCTCACTGCGCCTAAGGGCAGTCCCTAGATTTCCTGAATTTTTTCCTAGAAACTGAAATACACTTCCGACACCTGCACATGTCCCCAAAAAAACCCCAAATTAGACCCAGGGCCTTTTCGGCCAATTTTGGAATTCCAGCACGGCGGCTCTGTCGTGCTCTGGCGACGGTGCCACCGTCCACGGCGGCAATCCGTCTTGGGTTGGCCGTTTCTGGCCGTATTCGGCCAAACTTGCATTTGTTCTTGTGATAAAACACCCCTAGGGCCTTCGGTGAGCCAAAAAATTCCAGAAAATCGAGACTTACCGGCGACGAAGCTCTCGGGTAAGGTGGCTCCTTCGGCGCGAGTTGCGATTTGGTGTTTTGCTCCAGTTTACCTGTAAAGAAAAGGACGATGGTCACAGTGGTATAAAAATTACATCGAATGGGAACCGGGAAGGGACTCATCGGAGACAAAAATTGAGAAAACTTGCGACGACGCTGCTGGATTTTGGAGGTATTTTTCGGTCAATCGGCCGGTAGTTTGGCTCCGATTTGACCACAGGGAGGTTCAGCATCAAAAAACGAGCCAAGAGAAGAAATTGTACCTCGTTTGGCAGCTGAAAAATCCTCCGGTGCGGCGGCAGGTGGCGGCGGCCCGTTCCTTCGGTGGCTGGGTCGTCTTCTCCAGCGAGGGTTCTAGCAGCTAGGGTTTGGAGTTGGGTGTGGATGCGATTATTTATAACCTTCCCCTTTTAATATGAGCTGTCCATCATGATTTAATCTGGGTCGTCCGATCGCGATTAAATTGGAAATAAATCTGGACCGTCCATCGCGATGCGATCTGGACCGTCTGTGCGTGATCAAATCTGGGCTGTCTGCACGGGTGAGATCTGGGCTGTCCATGCGCGCTTTTGATCTGGGTCGTCCGTGCGCACGGGAACGGATCTGGGCCGTCCGATCGCACGCACACGGATCGCCCACGTGTCTCCGTCCTGCGTGGCTTCCTGCGTCAGCGTCCCTGCCACGCGGCGTGTCCTGGTTGGCCAGGACTGCTGACGTTGCACTATTTTTCTAAATTACGTTTTGACCCCTGGTTTTTTATTTTCTTTTCAAAAATACCCCCAGAATCCAAATTTTCACCCTTTTTTTCCAAAATCAATTTCAATTAAATCTCAAAAATAATTTTACCCTATATTATTATTATTTTTTTTATTTTTATTAAATTAAATTAAAACCTTATAAATTAATTATTAAAATAGAATAAAATTAAACAAAATTCTAATAAAAATTAAAATAAAATAAAAATAAAAACACAATAAAATAAATGAAAAATTTTGGGTATTACAACTCTCTCCCTTTAAAGAAATTTGGTCCCCCAAATTTACCTCTTACTCTTGGTCGAACAAATGGAGATACTGGGCTCTAAAGTCTTATTCTAGCTCCCAGGTAGCCTCCCTTGGTGAGTGGTTCTGCCACACTACCTTTACAAATGATATTTTTCGGTTGCGGAGTATTCTGCTCTTTTAGTCCGTGATACCGACTGGTACTTCCTTATAAGATAAGTCCTCTTGGAGTGGAAGCGGTTCATGAGCCAAGACATGAGAGGGGTCCGGGTTGTACTTACGTAGTATGGATACATGGAACACATTGTGGACCTTGGAGAGCTCTGGAGGCAGTGCTAGTCTGTAGGCGGTAGTACCAATCCTGTCTAAGACTTTATATGGTCCAATAAATCGGGGGTTCAGTTTTCTCCTCCTGCCGAACCTACTAATTCCTTTGAAATGAGTGACCTTAAAGAACACCCGGTCACCTTGTTCAAACGCTAAATCTCTCCTCCGGGTGTCCGCATAACTCTTCTGCCTACTCTGAGCTGTTTGAATGTTCTTTCTGATTTTAACTATTTTAGACGTGGTCTCCTCTACCAACTCTGGGCCGACATTTTCTATCGCCACTTCTCCCACAAATCGATGATCTGCAT